TAAACACTCCTTAAGCCAGAAACTCTCTACTTCTACGTTTCTTTTACATTTTTTTTACTTGGATGGTTGAACCTCTCTCACTTTTATGCCCTAGCCAATAATAAGAGTAAGAATGTTTCAGCTATTCCTCGGAGAATGATTTCTTGCATTGTTTTTGAATTTGTCTTGTATTGAAATGAGATTATTTCACCCTCCTTGATCATCTATAACAATGAAGTGTGAGTAATACGCTTATACTCTTTAATGAAGAGTAAAGACATGCATAATATTGTTTCTGTTATAAAAATGCCAATGTTTTATCTATACGTTAATATTCTTACCTCCCTTAATTAATGGATGATTATTATTATTTCTATTTGATATCATATTATTATATGCTCTGGTTACGAGTACTAAGCTTACTCCTATAAACCAGTCTATTTATAATTTATTACGTATTTCATACATGATACAAAGATGTACGTAGTTGGGTTTTATGTAACAGTCAGAAGATTGGTTATAGACGGGATAAATCTTCTTATAGTCAATGCTTTTGATTTAATGCATAACCGGCACTCTATCTTCATTGAATCATCGACCTGTCAATTGACTAGTTGCAGTAAACCTTTTGAATGGTTCACCTTCGAGTTTACTAGGGTTGTTTAGTTGATACATGGTACATAGACCTTCCGACTAACCTAATTAGTTGTTGTGATATGGTTCAATTTATACATTAAAGCTATCAATTATCTTTCTAGTAAAATGAAAGTTGATTATTGCAAGGTGGCGTTTTCATAGTCAAGCAATAAAATGCATGTTGAATCCCCAAACTTAAGAGTAACTTTTTGCAATTATTATAATTAAAATTTTAGTTTAAGTATTTATTTGATAATTCTAAGTTTACACCACAAGTTATCGTAAAGCACATTACGTGCACGAAAATTTTACAACATACATGAATTTTTCTTCTCTTCCAGCGTGTAATAATAACTACTTATTGGTCAACTTTACTTGACAGTTTTAGTCTATTTGAATGATACATCCTAACAAGCATCTCTCTTTTGAGCACATCCCATGATAAACCCCCACCCCCACCCCACTCCTTCTCCTATTTGTTATGATGTTTTTTTATTGGAAATAATTATGATGATTTTTATATGCAACAAGAAGTTCTCGTTCTCCGTATTTATGTTTCTAGTAGCTTCAGTGGCATTTTAACTGGTATTACAACTGTTTCATTCATCTTGTTCATGTTACAACTTCCTAGTACCTTCAATTGTTTTGAATTGAATTGTCCCCTGAAAATTTGTGATATGGAACTACCCTAATTTTTCTTCTATAACAAATGCTAATGGTTCCTCTATCATTGTTTGTGGCACCCTTTGAACTAAAGGGGATAATATATAAATTTTAATTACTAATTCACAGTTTTACATTGAAAAGCCTTCTTTAATCTCTAAAAAAAAATGATCAAACAACAAATTTAGGCCTAGTAAAAAGTTAAGAGGACTCTCTTAAGGTCATCCCCATGATTTATCCCCGTAATTGTTTGGTGTATGTGGGAGAAGAACTAAGTATTTTCGAGAAGATCACCCGCGTGTTCTAAGTAGCTTGGATATCTTCCTGTTTCGTGACAGGAAACAGAAATGTCATTAATACTATAAAATAAATTACAAAAGAAAATCCATGGTGGACCAGTAGTCCAAACCAAAGACACAACAAAAAAGGAAAAACATACGTAAAGAAAACAAAACTACATTCCTCATGAGGTTTTCCAATTAGAGGTAATGCCAAAAAGGGGAATATCCTCAAATTCCTTAGACACAGAAGCCCAAAAAAAGTCAAAAAATGAATCTGCCCTCATTCAATCAAATTACTTTTCCTTCTAAATTCCCCAAACAGTAGCGGAAAAAAAAAAAAAGCACGAGCACAAAGGGTCCTCCCACCTCTTATTATATCCCCCTCCCATAACATCCAAGCTTATCATGGATCTCATATTTCTCGATGTCGCGCAACAATGGCCAATATAATTACACAACATATTCCATATTGAAAGAGCAATGGGACAATGCAAAAAAAGATGATCCACACTTTCACTATATCCATTACACATCACACACCATTGTAGTTGAAGACAAACTAATGGTCTTCTTCTTTGAAGTACATCATAAGTGTTAATTTTACCATGTGAAATTATCCACAAACATATTTGCACCTTTAAAGGCGTTGTATCTTCCCAAATCAACTTTCCAAATTGATGGAAGAAATAGTGGAATTGAGGGATCATCAATTAAAGAATCAAAGAAAGATTTACATGAGAACGCACCATTAGACTCAAGAGACCCACATCTTTTATCCAAGCTATCATGGAATAATGAGATATCACTAGGCAAAGAAAGAACCTCCACCATCTCTAAGCATTCCCTGTCATATATATTCCTACGAAAACCAAAATTCGAAGAAAAAGTATTTGAATAGGACCAAATAAAAGAAACAACATTTTGTTCATGAAACCTAAAATTCCGATAAAGTCGAGGAAAGAGACTTGAGACGGAAGACCCCCCAACCTATATATCCTCCCAAAAACAAATCATAGCTCCATAACCCACAAAAAGCTTAATGCACTGGGAAAAAAAAGGTAACCCCTGGGAAATAAACTTTTATTGACTTCAAAACTACATCTTTATGCCCCATTAGCATCTCACTCATAACATGTAACTCATATTTACTCTTAATAACAAAACACCACAATGATTTGGTCCAAAGAGAATCTCCAAAGCCATTTTTCAATCAAAGCAACGTTTCTTTTCAGCAAATTTCCAACCGAAAGGTCTCCTTTAGCATTGGATCTAGAAACCACCTCCCAGGATATTCAAAATGATCTTTCTTGCCCTCTCCACTCCTTTCTCATAAAAAATCCCTTAACACCCCTTCAATTCTCCGAGCTACCAAAACAGGCATCTTAAAAAAAGACATGAAATAAATAGGAATGGTAGCCAACACAAACTGAACTAATGTTAACCAACATCCCCTAGAAATAAAGGTTTTCTTCCTCCCATCTTTTCCCAAGCTTTTCCATAACTGGGTCCCAAAAAGACTTAGACATCAGATTTCTCTCTAAAGGAAGCCCTAAATACTTTAAAGATCATCCACCCACATAACATCCCATCTCAAGAGCCAATCTGTCAATCTTATCCTGACTAGTGTTAATGCCCATAAGGGTAATCTTTTCCATATTAACCTTAAGACCCAATTAATCCCAAAAACTTCAACGATTTTCAGCAAAATTTTGACTTTCACCTCATCTCCTGATGAAAAGAAGATAGTATCATCAGCAAACAGTAAGTGAGAGACAACAGCTCTATCCCTTCTAATCACAAACCCTTAACTAGATTACATCTATCTGCCTTCTCCAGTAATCTACTCAAAACATCAGCCACTAATGTAAACAAAAAAGGGGATAAATGATCTCCTTATACCAATCCCCTAAATGCTTTAAATTTACCCATTGGTCTCCCATTTATCATGATCGAGAAATTCATTGAATCCAAACATTCCCTCATCCATGTTTTCCACCTCTCCCCAAATCCCTTCACCTCCAAAACAAAGTCAAGAAAATTCCAAACCACATCATCATAGACTTTCTCAAAATTAAGTTTCAACAGAATACCCTCCCCACCTCTAGTTCTATAATCACTTCATTAACAATAACAGCCACATCCAAAATCTGTCCACCTTTTACAAAAACCCCTTGTGAACCAAAAATAGTGGTACTCTAACACTCCAAGCCTTGTTGCAAGAACCTTGGCTATAATGTTGTACAAACTAGTAACAATGCTTATAGGTCAAAAATCCTTCAATTTCAAAGAGTTAAACTTTTTTTGGAACAAGGCTTAGATATCTTCTTTTTAGCACTGTTACTTGGTGAAAATTTACATATTACAACCCTACACCATCCTCTGTGTATGTCCCTAGATCCTGTTTTGTTGATTTACTATCATGATCCCAACATTACACAAAAATTCAAGCCTGATTCACTACCCAAAAAGTAAAGAATTCAAATAAATAAATAGATAACATAGGACAAAAAATGGCACTACTCGCATGTATGAGTGTGTATTTATGCATGTACATAAACTTTTTTTAACTGCTGAATTATTTTTCAAAAATGTAAGCTCCTACATTGTCTTTTTACGAAAATGGGTCCAATGTTCATGTCCTACTAAGTTGATTTTCAAAAGTGGCTTTCCTATCTTTAATTTTCTGCCACTCCTGTCCTCCATTTTTTTTATATCTATGTTCTAACTTTCTACTGTTTCCCCCCCTCCCCTACCCCCCCCCCCCCTCCCTTTTTTCCTGGTTACCATCTAGTTTCTGTTATATTGTTCCTTATTTTCACTTGGAGTGGACCTATAGAAAAGAGTGCACATATTCGAGAGTTTGCCCTTAGCTCATTAATGAATAAAGGCCTGAAAGGTGAGCCAAAACAACTACCAACCTTCAAGAGCTGAAAGTCAGGTTAAGGAATTGAGCTTTTGAATTCTTCCGTTTGCTCATCAGTTATGACCTCTAGCAAGCGGCACCAACCGGGGCAATAACTGGCAACAACATAAATGCTATAAAACAACGTAATTTCGACTGGTTCTATTCCGGCCACTTGAAGCCCCACGTGCCTTTTCTATATAGCTTCATAACCAACTGTTATACATACAATCACCAATAAATCATCTAACAATATCTCTCTCTACTTGGAGTTTTCTTACTAAACTATATTCAGTTTTAGACAACAAAGGTCCATCCCAATATATTTTGTTTTAAACATGTACCTATGTATATACATATATCAACTTCAGATAAACAATTGTGTCAATTTTTGTAGTGTACAGTTTTTTGAGAATGCATACACTAATAAGCTAAAAATACAATCACATTCTATTTTTCTTTTCTCATTTCTCATTCCACATATTGTGCAGGTTTTGGACTAGTTCATATAATAAGACTAATAAAAGAGAAAGTACAAGCTACTCGGAATCTTCAATTTCAAGAGCTGGAATTCTGCGGAATCGAGCCAACGATCGGAAATGACATGCTTCCCTATTGTCTGAATTTTTTGTTCTCTTCCGTCTTCCAGAGAAACCTTGCCCAGAAATTGACTCAGATAGGATCCCCATGCTCCTTTTCTTCCCAAGGTTGCTATTTTCAATTGAAAACCTGCAAAAACAGCGAATATATCAAAACCTGCAAAGCAACAAACAAATTTCAAAGCAGATATCATAAAAATTTGAGGCACACATTCTATTCAAACAATAGTCATACCTACCATTTGGTAAACATACGAAAAACTCATTCAAAGAATTTATTCTTATAACAGTCAGAGAATTCACAAAGTTGCAAGAAAACACTATATTTGGAGGGGTTTCATGTAGACCATAAATGTCATCCCCACTCTAATATTTTGATGGTTGCTTTCTCTTGGAAGGGATTTCCAGTGGTACATCACTCGGTGCACCACAACACTAAGATACTCATCATTTCTGTTGTCAATTTTCCAGTACATTCAATGATTCTCAGAAAAATAAAATTTAAAGCTTATGGGGCATTATTGGAAAAATAACTAACAGAAATATTGGCTTCTCAGTATTACAAATATTAACATGCAAAATAATAGGCTATGTATGCAATGTCTCTTTATATCGTTGATACAATCTGCTTAACTGTCTTGTTCATATAATCCCCAATCATGGAAATTTTCACTAAGCTACATATTGAGGATAGCTAAAGCATAATGTAATATAGAAGCCTTGCCTAATCGAATTGAAATTCTAGTTTTTTTATGATAATTCTATATCATCCACTAGCCACTCAAAGATTCTGAAATCAACGTGGCTTTACTCAACTGCTTTAGGACCCGTTTAATCTATATTTACGTGAATTATGTATATATATGTTTAAAACAAAACTGAAAAGTTTAAGCCTCCAGGCTCTCCAGATCAAGTGATTGCCATAATATTTCTTACACATCAGTCCTTAAAAATTTATGATAAAGAGGTTGAACAATCACAGCACTCTATTAACAATTTTAATGCAAGATCATCTTACTTGATAAGCAATATTATTGAAAAAAAGTATCATTCCTTAAATTGTTATTGCAAACTGTAGACCATGCTTATGGTAGAAGTAAAAGGAGGTCAAAAACATCCATTGGAAATCCAAGACACCTTTGCGCATCAAGTGGCACAAGCCCTTAAATCAAGCTTCACTCAACCAATAGCTTTGAAGTGCGGTGGTAAAGGATGCATACCTCGTTAACTAGAGAAAACTAAACTATGACACCCTTCTGTGTAAAGACTCTAAACCAAACCCATCACTCATGGCCCTCCATGAAATAAACCTACTTGATCTAAATGAGTGTTATTTAAAGTTCATTTGGTAACGTTTTCGTTTTTTCGTTTTTTTTTTTTTTAAAAAAAAAAAAAGAACTAGTTTTTGTGTTTTTTGTGATAAAACTAAAAAATAAAATATGTTTGGTAATCATTTATATTCAAAAAATTAAAAAAATAAAAAACATGTTTAGTATTATGGTTGTTTTTTGTTAGTTTTTTAATACCAAATAAGTTGCTCCTTAAAATACCATTAGGGGTGAAAACCCAACCACCCAAAACCCACCACACACCACCCCTTAAAAACCCATCACCACCGGTCCCAAAAAACCACCAATCAACCCACCCAAAACCCCACCATCCAACTACCTAAACTCCACCACACAAACCCCACCATACCAGATGTTTCAAATGTTAAACTAAGAGCCAAAAAAAAAAAAATGCTAATTGAAGAGATCTGGAGAGACCCACAACACACATTTGTATATATATGCAGATCTATGTATATATATACATATACATACAAATCTGGGTATTTATAAATTATATATAGTAAATAATCTTTGAGAGAGATGTCGAACAAAGAGATAGGAGAGAGTTTTGCCAGAGCGAGATTGCCAAAGAGAGCTTCGTGAGACTTCAGTGATGAAAGCCGTTCGAGAGAGAGTCAAAACGAGAGAGAGAGAGAGTCTGACTTCGGTCATTAAATATATGCCAAAAAAAAATCTGTTGTTTACTGCCAAGAGAACTTTGGACCTCATTAAAGTCCTTCCGATGCCTCCGTGTGTTTTCATTTTTTGAATATTTTCAAATACATCATTTTGAATGTTTTCATAATTTGTCCTTATTTGCAAAACGGAGCAGCAAAAAAAAGGAAAACATTCACCAAACGCATTTTTATTTTTTCAAAAAGTGAAAACAACAAAAAAAAAGCAAAAACGACCTGCAAGGAAAACAAAGACAGTGACATCCAATCCCTATACAATTGAATGACTAAATATTATGGGGTTAAATTAAAATTACTGAAACTACAAATTTTGATACAAAAAGTTGGTGAACTAAAGGTGTATCAATTACCAAAGATCATTTAAACTATATGAATATACGAAAGGGGGTAAATCAAGACTTACTGTTCACGAATTTTTCTAAAAGCTTCTTTTGTTGCATAAGATAGTCCTGTCCTCGGGTCACGGTACCTAAACCATAGCACAATCCACATAATAACCAAACAAAACAACAGATTACATTACTTTTGTGCCAATATAAATAGAGGTACACTTACATTCATGACAGTATAAAGAGGTACAGGTCTCACAAGCAGCTAAATCTACCAGCTAAATCTAGAACTGCTTCACCTGCCTGAACACTTTTACAAATGAAACGACGTAAAATTGTGGTAGGAAACTTCAGGTCAAACAAAATTGTTTTGTTACGATAAACAATGCCGAAGGGAGAATGATACAGAATGGAAGGCAAAGAAGTGGAGGAAAGAAGAGAAGTATGCAAAGAAATAGAATAAGGCAGAAAAGATGGGAGCGATAGTGAGACGGAGGGAGAAAAAGAGAAGAGAATAGGTCCGTTGAAAGATAACTTGAGAAAGAGAAAAGAGAGATGAGAATTCCAAGCGAGGTTATATGTGAGAGAGATGAAATAAAAGAGATAGTAAATTAAGAGCAACAAAATATAAGAGAAAAAAGAAAATGAAAAACAGAGAAACGGAGTACAGCTCTGGCTAACTACATGTGAGCCCACCACATTTTACAGTAATAAAACATTGGTATGGGATTCTGAAGGTGTCTTGGGAGTTGATAAGGGAAGGCTGGGTGGGCTTTTTCTTTTGGTTGCCACTCCCTATAGTTCACTATGCTTGTGATTTTGAATGCTAGCTGGTAGGCTTTAAAAGGAAGGGGACCCTAATGATTTTTACAGAAGCATAAGTTAACAGATAAACCCCCAGATTACTTGCATAAAACCTCTAGAACTTTTAAAAACTTATAGCAATAGCCACTTAAAACTTTGAATACCCTATGTCTAACCAAAAGTTCTAAACTCCCATGCAAATATTCTTTGAATGTCCACCAGAGCTCAAGTAGGGCATACTCCCGTGAAGAGAGAGATAGAGAGAGAGAGAGATCTTCCTTCTGAATACATGTTAAGAAAGTCAACATAAGGCACCAAACTGAAACTGGGTTTACTAATAATAGTGGCTAGAATTTTCAATGCCCAGACAATGCACCCTGAACCAACAAACATAAAAACAATAACTATAAAAACATGGAGAACTATCTTACTTTGCAGGCAATCCAGTAACAGCACAGACAGCCTTCTGCGGGTCTGGAAAGACAAAAAAATAAATAGTTAATCGTTAGTACTAAGAAGTAGTTAATCAATAGTACTAAGAGGGATAGGAGCAAAATTTTGTGAAACCCCTGTACTGCATTGGAAAATGTTAAGTTCATTTTGAGGTGTTTTGAAATATCCAAGCCAATTTGGTGATTGGCATTTATCTTATAACCAGACCAGAAAAACTCCCACTCTGCAGATTTTAGACTTATATGTACATATTCTTGAACATGAATGAAACAGATCGGTCCATAAAAACAGAAATTCCTCGACTTACTTCTAGGCATGCTTCTTTAATAGCACAAAGCAGAAAGGTAAAATGGAAATAAGGTCAACATCCCTGATCACACCCACATAGACTGATTTATATGGATATTAGCTCTTGTCCAATGGCACCAGTTCCCACGATAGTAATAGGTTTAAAGGACAACTTCTGCCACAGGAAGGCAAGTAGATAGTGCCTTATGCATGTCAAGCTAAAAACAATAACCACTTTAAGAAGTTTGTGGATCATCACCAGACAAGGAACCACTGCAACAGGCTTGTACAGGTTGGAAAAAGGATTCGATCACCAGCATGGTAACTCACGGGATTGATTGACACAGTTTATGACAACAAAGATTGATTGGAGTGATCTGTGGGATTTATTTCATGATCTCCTTCCAAAGACAGAATGTTCTTTTTCCCAATGTCTTTTTGTGCTTCCATCACCTTATTAGGAACTTTTAGAGTAATAATTAATATGAAGGGAGAAAAAAAAAGAGCATTTTTGGCTTCTTTTTTTTTTTTCTTGAGCGGAGAGGTTTGGAGGATGTTTACTTTGGTCCTGACACCTAGCTACACTGAAGTAGACAACCCTCACACTAGAAAGATCATTCTGCAGAAAATTATTAAAAGACAAAGACAAAGAACCCCAAATCCAAATCTGCAGCACAAACCCTGACTTACCAGCCAATCTACGCACCCATTATCCTGTCAGAAAATACACTTCAACTCACCATGTTCATTCCTTGGCCAGAAACCCTTACCACACTTTAATAAGAGACAGATTTGGATGAGTTCCAAAATTCCCTGAAGGATAACTGATTCTCAATCCCTTTCAGATCCCAAACAAGTGCACCCTTTGAACCAAGGCGATGTGAGTTTGAAATAGGGCCCAGAGTGTTGATCTATGGTTATGGCAACTCCCCCAAATAGCAAGAAACTAGCAACTCACTACCATCCCCACGAAGAAGGCATCAGTTCCAGCTACACCAGAATTATTCTTAAAAAATCCACCAATATTGAGTTTTACCATGAAGCTTTGTGAAAAGACCAGAAAATGAAGCTCATATTCTACGCACAATATCTTTAAAAATAGCAGTCCAGACCTCCCTATCGTAGTTCTGAATATAATTACCTGGATTAGAAGGTACAAAACTTTCCTGCTGCTCCAACAACAGCCAGCAAGTGATTGTGAAAATTACAGTCTACATCACATTGTGTATCATCAACTATAAATACTCAGATTCTTAACTTCCCACCACTCTAAATTCACATGGTAGAATTTGTTACACAGCTGTTTTTTTTCTTTTTTTGGTTGGGGGGAAGCTCCAATTAAATATCACTAACTATAACTAATATTGTCACAAACTGTAGCACTTGAATCAATTGGAACCACAACATTTTCACTCACAATATTCCATGGAAGCACATTTCTAAGTTTAATTATGTGCCACAGGTCATGCCAGTGTATTGTGTGATAGACGTATACCCCTTAACCTAAAAGAAAAATTCTATAGAACAGCCATAGGACCAGCTATGCTTTATGGTGCTGAGTGTTGGGCAACTAAGAAACAATATATTCAAAAACTGTGTGTGGCATAAATGAGAATGTTAAGATGGATGTGTATTAAAACTAGGAAAGATAAAATGAAGAACAAATATATCCATGAAAAAATAGATGTAGCACATATAGGAGATAAGTTAAGGGAGAATCGACTTAGGTGGTTTGGACATATTTATAAATGGCCTATTACAGCATCAGTGAGAAAGAGTGATATAATAATTATTGGAAGTAAACGTAGGAGTAAAGGAAGATCAAAAATAACTTCAAATTAATTAAAGAAATATATGATAACCTATAGTTTAACTGAAAAAATTGGTGCTAATAGAGCTCAATGGCGAAACAGGATTCATGTATTCGGAAAATTCTTGCATGCGGCATCCTTCAGCACCCTATTCTCCGTAACAAATTGCAATCACTAAAAAATTGTGGCCAACTACTCTTAAAGTATTTTTAGTATTAGGGTAGTTTGGTCATTTTCCTATGTTGTTTTGCCCTACTATAAAAGAGTTTCTCTTTGAACCTTTTATTATAATGTTGTAAGCAAACTATTAGTCGTAATAGTATTCTCTATGTTTCTTCTCTTTATCTGATATGTTATCAAAGTTTTTATGATATCAGAGTATGTTACGATGCGTCTAGCAATGGAACAGTGTTTACCAAAAAAATTCCAGAAGAAATCAGAATTGCAGAAACCAACGTCTGATATTGCTTCATCTGACAACAATGACATCATAATGACATTTGTATCTTGTAGCAATGTTACCCACCAATCTACTCAAAATCTCATAGACTACAACCTAGTGGTATTGGTTTTTTGATTTAGAGATAATATGATAGGTTTTTTATTTTTTGAATGATTTTCAAAAAAAATGTCTCAACTTTTTGATCTAGTCTTCTCTTGATTTTTCTTCGATTATGTTGCTTCAAATCAGTGTTATGGGATGTGACTAAGGGGCTTGTGTACTCAGTTGGGTGATTCAAGGCACTTTGGTTGATTTGTGATGAAGTTATGGTGGTTTTGGTGAATCGGCAGTTTGGTGACTACCCACCGGTGATTCTTTTCTAGCTGATTCTGCCCATTGCTACTACGTCATCATTTTTTCGGCTAACCTGTGATGAACTTTGGTGGTTTTGGTGACTGGAAAGCCATGTTTGGTCCATTGGTGATGAGGTTTGGGTGATTTTGGCTAGATTCTGTGCCTTGCTATCGTATCATTGCTATCTTTATGCCTTCGTATACATTTTCTTCACATACTTGTTTTGCTTCTCCATTCTTCAAGGCTGAGAACTGGGTTATTTGTTATCCACTATTCTTGTTCAATTTTTGTTTTGTTTTATTGAATTTTGCATGTTTGCTGTGTAAAGAACATGATTTGGTATTAGTTTAGTGCTTGATTGAAGAATTTGAAGACTCTTGAACTAATTTGTGCTTCTCTCCATGTCAGCCATTGAACTAATATTATCTAGTATTTCTAGTCATTGTGGTGATAGGCCCTTCCCCTAAAATGCCAAACTGTTGATTTATTTGATTTGCTAAGATTGTGCTTTGTGAGCTTGTTGATTTTGCACCGTGACATGCTACTGCTCTTGTTGGGTTTTGCTTTTCTTCCACTGCATTTGGTTTGTACTGCTTCCAGGCCTTTTAACGTTGGAGTCGATCTTGGACTTTTTGCTGGTTTTGTATTACAATTTTACAATTATGGCAAGTAAAAACCTTTATCCTCTTCAAGCTGTCAATATGAAATCAACTGTCAGTTCAATTATGATTGCTGATCAATTACAATAAGCTTCTCTCACTCCAACATCTTAATGCATTCTCAGTCTTTCCTTTAGTAGGTTCGTTCACTTCGGATCATTCAGGTATACCTCGAACTGCTAGAGTCGTTAACTCAGGTGCTATACATCAAATGATTAGTAACTCTTCTTTACTTGCATCTACTTTCTCTCCTCAATCAGTATTTGTGCTTGTATCTAATGGGACACAAATGTCATTAGTTGACGTTGGAACTATTGTTTCTCCTCACCTCATGCTTCCAGATGTATATTATATTCCTCAATTTAATTTTAATTAGTCAATTATTTGATTCTTGTTTGTTTGTTCATTTTTTTTCTTCAAGTTGTGTTGTCCAAGATTCACGTTCCAAGAAATTAATTGGGACAAGCTGTAGAAAAGGAGGGTTATAAGTGTTGGACGAGCTACATGATCCAAATATTGATTTTTTTAGTATTGATTTGTCTTCTTTTCAATTGAGTTCACAATCTTCTAGTTTTTATTTGTGATATTCTCATTTTGGTCATGTGATGTAAGACAACATGAAATTGTGTTTTCTTCAGCATCTCATAGATTGCATCATCATATTTCTCATTCTCGTTTGAAATTCTTAACATTTACAAGAGCTTGGGTAGTTTAAAGTGTTGTGACATTTCCAGTTGTATCGAATGCAAGTTAGCTAAGTTTACTCTATTGCCTTTCAATAAAAGTTCTACTAGCTCTCTTGCACCTTTTAATTGTGTTCATTCTGATGTATGGGACCTGTTCCTATTTCCACAAAAGGAGGGCTCAAATATTATGTCTCATTTATTAATGATTACACTAGATATTGTTGGGTATATATAATTAAGCATCGTTATGAGTTATTATATATTCATTATTTTTTGTGCCATGATACATAATCAATATTCCTCTATTATTAAGTGTTTTGAATGTGATCAATGAGGGGAATATTCTTTTAATTCCTTTTGTAATATGTTAAAATCTGATAACACTGTTTATCAATCTTCTTGTACTGACACACCTGAACAGAATTGGATAACAGATCGCAAACATTGTCATATTATGGAGATAACACACTCTCTCGTGCTATCTACATCAAATTATTTCTCCTAGCGTGTATTTGGATGTGCATGTTTTATCTTGCTTCCTAGTGCTCTTCATAATAAACTTTCTGCTCATTCAGCTCTGTATTTTTTTTTATTATAGTGAAGGTCAGAAAGGATATTGATGCTATAATTCTGTTATACACAAACTTGAGGTCTGTCGTCATGTTGTTTGAATGGAGCATATTCCATTCTTTTCGATTTCTTCCAAGTCTTCACATTTACATGAATCTGACCTCATTTATATTGATCCATTTTCGAATGATGTTCCCGCTGATACTTATGCCGGTGATTTGATGCTTTTGATGTGCCCTCATCCTTTGAGCTGCCTGTCTTCGTCTTCCCATAGTACATACCTATACTCGTAGGACTCCAGATGCAATGCTTTCATCCTTGTCTATTGTCACTCAATCTGGTTTTGACAATGTGGATCTCGTAATACTCGACAGTCTCGTAAATGTCCAGATCGATTTAGTTTCTCTAACTCATGATATTCTACTGATTTTTGTTCTTTCTAAACTTCTATCTATTTCATTCCTGACCCTACCTTCTTTAAGGAGATTGTTCTTGATCCACTTTGAA